GCAGTGTCACTGCACATGCTGTTCCCATCGGCTGCTACAATTCCTTGGCCTTGTATGAACTAGGCATGAAAACATTTTCAGTTTGTCGCCCTGCAGCTCTTCCCATCTCCAGCTCTGCCACGTTGTCTTGGAGCACCGCAGCACTGTGAGCAGAGGTTGCCATCACCATTACCAAGTGCCTGCTGCCTGGGGAAAAGGTAGCAATTCTTGGTGGAAAGCAAGAAAAAAAAAAAAAAAAAAGCATTAGAAGGAGTTCTCTACTCTTCCAGGACTCCTAATCGTATCACTAGCTGGTAAAATAAAGACTGGTTTTGTTGATTATTTTTATCCCTCAAAATTAATTTACAGCACATCTGCCACAGCAGGATATACCATTTCCCTAAAGAAAATCAGTATTTTCCTTGTGCAATTGGCTCTTCAATGGCACATTATATATAAAGCATTCATGCACAAACAGTTCATTCTGCCCTGGTTATTTTCCCTGTCATAGCGTGAGTATTTTTAGCCCTCATGTGATCCTCCAGTATTTTCCAGCTCTGCTTTAGTCATCCTGCTCTCACTGAATATTTCAAACTAAAAAAAAAAAATCTAACAGCCTTCAGATCTAAGAACCTCTCACATTTTTAGCTTACATGTAAATAATTAATTTTATTAAGTTTTCTTTTACCCACGTATTTTTGACACCCCACGCCCATACACAAGAGAGTGCTCCATGGAGATTTGCTCTGACATACAGGAATACTTACATAAGACACTAAGCTGAAATCCTGACAACCTGATCACTATTTTCAATTTTGATCAGATGAAGCTTTTTCCACTGTTTCCCACAGGGAGTAATAGAACTGGCACAAACAACAGCGCCCTAATATTTTAATCCTGTACCATCATTTTGGCTCTACATCTGTAGGCTGTTTACCACTGCATTAGAGAAGAGCGGAGGCTGTAGGAGATCGAAAGTCGGCTCAGGGCTGGCAGATGGCATTATATCTAAAAGCAGCTGTGGTGCTGCTGGCAGAGAGCCTGCAGCAGTGGTCTGTGCTGCTGGCTCTGCTCCTCGAAGAAGGAAAACACCCTTATTCCCCCAGCAGGGAGCTGCATTTACCTGGTGAATCCCTGCTGCTCCTATTCTTTCTAAGCAGACTTCTACCCGTTACTAAACCCATCCACCCACGGTGCCACTGCTTGGCCACAAATCAGCTCTGTCCCCGAAGGGCAGGACAAGGCAATACAAGGGTGGCACAGCAGATTAGTTGTAGGGACCGATTTACGCTTCCATTTCCGAGCTGCATTATCCTTGACCTGCCCTAACTCCCCAGCAGGATCACCTCTGAAAGGGGAAGCTTGCCTGCTCCCTGATTAACACAAAACTGAGTGCATTTTCACATTTCTCAAGTTTTAGGTTGTTGTCAAAGCATTTTTTTCCAAATTAAATAAAGACCACACTCTGCATTTGTAGAGCCACAGGTACAGAAAGCAGCTACCTTGATACCATGGGTCCTGTCAGAATTTAGTGTCTGATTAAAACACCAAAAATTTTAACTCATGCCAGTAGCTTTTGGGCTAAGTTTTCAGAGCTGTCTTTGGGATTTGACCACTTGCTAAATGAAAGACATATCTTAGTCCACTTCTGAAAATAAAGTGTAAGAACACAGTGTTATAGAGCAGTTAAATGAGCTCAGCATCTCCTAAATCACTCAAACCCAAAACTCTGTCAATGGCACTGGAAGAGTTATTCCGTGGAACAACAGGAATCATCTTAAATGTGTAAGAGACTACTAGCAGCTAAATAAATTATTCCTTTAGAAATTTATATATCTGATCAATTTAGAATGGGCATACTTTAAAGTCTGCCAAACCCCAAAATATGGTATGAATGGGTAACCTTGTATCTGCTCACTCCTGACATCAAACAATAGATACATACATTTATGTACGTCCACTGCACACTGCTTAAAGACTTGGATTATGTTGAAAGATCTTCTGGGCTCTTAATTTTCTTTCACTATTGCTTCCTTTTATTTAGTTAATGAACTGAAACGAGACAGTACGAAAACTTCAAAGCTCCAGTGTCAATGCAGAGCAAATCACACAAACTCAAAATTTCGCCAAGCTGTGTGGTATGGTCAACACACACAGGAGGGAAAGGATGCCATGCAGCGGGACCCCGGCAGGCCTGACCCGTGTGCCTGTATGAACCCCATGAAGTTCAACAAGGCCAAGTGCAAGGTCCTGCACCTGGGTCAGGGCAATCCCAAACACACAGGCTGGGTGGAAAATGGATCAAGAGCAGTCCTGAGGAGAAGGACTTGGGGGTGTTGGTTGACAAGAAGCTCAACACGACGCAGCAATGTGCGCATGCAGCTCAGAAGGCCAACCATATCCTGAGCTGCATATTATGGTTCCTATAGCAACTGCAATAAATACTCCTTCACTTCTAGCTAAATCTGCACAAGACTGAGCTACAGAAGCATATCTTTCATGGCAATTTCCCAACTACCCAAGACTGCTCCCACACACACAAGCTTCACACACAGAACCCGTCCCGGAGTGTCCTCTATCAACAGGCATCCAGTAAGGGCTCCATCCTGTCAAACAAACAGGCTGTGTGACGCATTGAGGAGACGCACAAAGGCACAAGACATCAGCAAAATGAAAATGTGCTCACCCAGAAATCGATAAACCTATGAATGACTGACACCTAACTGAGTTAGTCCTGCTCTAAAACACGAGCGGCAAAAGAAGTTAGAACTCTCATTTCACCCAGCATCATGCAGTATCTACACCCCACCTCGTCAACTCAGAAATCAAATTGGTGTCCTGCCTGTCACACTTCTGGACAATACTTAAGTTAATGATGAAGGAAGTTTCCATGAAAAAGCTAACTCTCCTAGTTACAGGATCTTATCAAAACTCATCACACTATCTCAGTTGTCCTATTCCATACAAATGAGGGAAGGCACAGGACATGCTCTTCATACAACCAACAACACAACACGACATCACTGCATTATCCTGCATATCAGCTGGCTGGTTCCACTCCAGTAGCTATTCAATTTCTGTAGGATTGTTACCTCCACAGCTTTAATTTGGATGACATATTTGTGACTTTGGTAAAAACGGACCATCTGTAAGAAGAATTAACAAGCATGGTAAAGTCTGTGTTTAATAAAAGTGTCTTTTTGAATTTCTCAGTTGGACATCTTGACATTAGCACTTGGGTTTTCTATTTTCAAAGGGAACGCAAGACATCACATGGGAAATCAGCACATTCCAGGCCCTGAGATTCAGAAGTTCAGGCACAAGACGGTAGAAAACAAGGATGTAAACAAGCTTTAGGAGCCCAGAGCAGCACTGGCCAGCTATTAGGTGCTCCATTTCCTGGAAGCACTAATGAGCTGAAGGCAGCTGGCCAAGTATGCCCCACTTTGACGTCAAAAGTGATCAGAGCAGAACGCTGAAATCTGGGTATGATTCCAGAGTACAAGCCAGCCTAAAACTGAGGGTGCCTCACACCTGCCCCTTCCCTTTGCCAGTACTGGGGCATATTCGAGCCCATGAGAAAACAGGTCACAGACTCAAAACCAACTAAAAATTAATCCTTATTTGAGGAATGGGTTATCATAAATCCAAGACAAACCAGTAAAGGAATTAAGTGCGTGTGCATGTGTGTTTCTGTATGCACAAACCTGTGTGCACATAGGCAATCAGGCCCAGTAACACTTGTTTTGTGATTATCTTTTAAAAAAATGTTAGCTGCTCTTCTGTTCACTTAATTCTCAGTTAATAAAAATGGCATCTGCTTAATGACTAGTCATACCCATATTACATAAACACCAAAGATCAGGCTTAGTCCTTTGGCCTGTTCCAGAAACACTGTTGTGGTTTAACCCCAGTAGGGAGCTGAGCCCCCACAGCTGCCCACTCCCTCTCCCTTGCAGTGAGATGGGGGAGAGAATCAGAAGGGCAAAAGTGAGAAAATTCATGGCTTGAGATAGAGACAGTCTAACAGGTAAAGCAAAAGCCACACACACAAGCAAAGCAAAACAAGGAATTCATTCACCACTTCCCATGGGCAGGCAGGAGTTAAGACAATCTCCAGGAAAGCTGGACTCCATCACCCATACCCGTGACTTGGCAACACAAACGGTGTAACTCTGAACATCCCTCTCCACCTTTCTTGTTCCTCCCCCCAGTTTTAATTGCTGAACCTGATGCTAAGTGGTACAGAATATCCCTTTAGTCTGCTGGGGTCACCTGCTCTGGCTGTGCCCCCTCCAAGAGTCTTGTGCAGCCCCAGCCTGCTTGCTGGCGAGGCAATGTGAGAAATCCAAAAGGCCCTGACTTTGTGTAAACAATGACCAGCGATAATTAAAACATCCATGTCTCATCAACACTGTTCTGGCTGCAAATCCAAAACTTAGCACCATAAAATCTCCTACGAAGATAGTTATCTCTATCCTAGCAAAACCCGGTACAAACACAAAACATAAAGTTAGGAGACTGAGGTATCTTTGAGAAAGAGCGATAGCTGTATGTTGTTCAGTTAAGAGGACTAGCATACCCAAACAATAAGCACCCATAAAACCAAAAATAAATGAATTTTTAAACTTCTGGTCAGCCCTTAAGATCTGGAAACATCACATCATTAAAAATAAATCAGTCTGTGCTAGCAATTTCCTTTAAAGGTGGAGGTGTAAAAGAGCAACACGCTCCATTTAATCTTCTTGAGTACACTTACACATACCACATTCAGCAACAAGCCTTAGTCTCCACCATCAGACATTACCAGAATCCACATCATTTACATCGAGGGGTTCAATAGGGCTGGGCCAAACTAGAGCACACAAGAAGTTAGCTTTCTGCAATCTCAAGATGCTAAGTCTATGACAAGGCAAAAAGCAGCAAAACGAACTGATTTTTAAGTAGTATTTATGCAAAGTGGATCATGGTTTATAATTGTGTTCAGAGACAGAAATGAAATTCCTTAAGATGCAAAATACCTGCAGTTGGAGAGTTTGCATGGTGAGACTTTTTGGGCAGGTTGAAGATCTGTTCACCAGGATCTGGTGGGGGAAGAGCATCTTGCCCTTGTCGAGCTTCCACAGGATCATACTCTATCATCAAAGAACTTCTTAAACCATTGAATGAAATCTAAGTTGTCTTGGAAACGCCCTTTGACCAGTTTTTCCACGGGAATTACCTGAAAGATAGAATAAAGGCTCCAATAATACATCACTACCATTTTTACATATAAAAATTACACATACACACTTATTTGAAAAAACCTACTAACTATATTAGCAAATATTCCTCTGCCACTGTTGTTCCTAAAAGAAAGGGAATTATGGCTGATTTGCAAGGGGTCTTAAAAAATGAAAACAGACTAATACAGAGACACAGCCTTTGAAGTAGCTACACAGTAGCTGCATATAAGCCTTTATAACTGCTCTTCCAAAGATTTACTCCTTTCTGATTGCAGTGACAGCCATGATGAATGACACTGTTCTGGGAGTAACACTATATTCAGCCAACTAGGGATTTCTGTTTTTAATGGACACCCTACAGTTGGACATGGTAAAAATGAACAATTCTTAAAGAAGTCCAGATAGGAGTTTCTTGCTCTCTGTTCCACTGTTTGAACTACAAAAACCCAGCAGCTTTTCCAAGACATGCTAAAGTTCAAACCAACTTACACTTTGGTAGCACATGTTCATCATACAAACTGACCCTGAGGTTTCAACCTTGTCATTTTTTTCCATTCCACATATAGCTATACATAGAACAGTTTGTGGATGTGCAAAAGTTGACTAAAATGCCTATAAGGTTCTAGTAAAACAAAAGAAAGGCTATGAGCATGTCTCCATATCCATACCTTACAGGTTTTTCACAGACATGAAACCTCTGGAAGGGTCTTCGGGCAATATTACAGTGCTGAAGGTTCCCAGACACTGTGGGCAGACAGGGACCACAACTGCAGAAGGAGAGCTGCCTTGCTTGGCTTAATTCATGCAGCTGATTACAGAGCCAGGTTAGATGGATCTTAATGCCCCTTGAATGCATTCCATTTTCAGATGGAAAAGGGTACCCAAAAGCACCAGTTTTAATTTCTTTTTCAAGGTTAAGTCAACTGTACAGGATTTTACAAACCAATGATGCTTCTACAAGAATTAACATAGCATTTTGCATTGGTTGTTCTATTGTATCTCAGATTGTTCTACCTGTATCTCAATTCCACATTAAGAAGGTATAGTAAGCTTGTTCCCTACAGGAAAATTGACAATGTTAGCTACATTAGGCTTTTCAATGTTTCACTCGCAAATCACACTGTAAACACAAGCACACCTAACATTTCATGAAACAATGAGGGTTTGCCAGTGATTTACTAAAGTCTTATGGGACTCTCTATTAAGACTGTTTAAATTTCAGAAAAAGGCAACAGTAAAAGCCAGAGCAGAGCCTTAAAAGGGTATACAGGTAGTGCATCTGTGCAAAACTATAAACATGACAACATAACTTCCATTACTCATTTTTATCAACACTGTAATTTACATTGGTGAGTTTGTCAAACCCTCATGTTCACACATAAACCAAATACCTTACAGCTGAACAAGCAATTTTCTCAGAGACTTCTGTTCCTAACTTTACAACTTCACATGTGCTGCCCAACCTATCAAATCACTGGGTAAATTATTCCAGCTTTTAAATAATTTAAATTTCTTAAACCCTGATTTGGACAAGAAACATGTAATACTTGCAAGAACAGCATGTTTCCAAGTTATTTTGTTGGAAATCAGGTCACCAGTAATTTCACTGTATCTAAAAATTAAGATTCACTGATGACAAGGAATTTCCAACACACAGTGTTCTATCAGAAGGGTCTCTGATATTAAGATATAATGAGTTAGGTTGCACAATTCCTGGGCAGATGCATGGACTCAATTTTCAATCTGTACCTAAATGGAGTATGTCAAACTCCTTCCTTCATGCCTAAATACCCTTTTCAGATGATGAAAGGTCAAGAACACCTTCACATACAACCTGTAACTCCAGTTCTCCACCTGAAAGTTGACAAAGGGGACTTTTAAGTATTCTGAAGTTGGTTTCCCCTATTTATTAGTGTTACCCAATTTGAAACATGTAGTGATTGAAGTACAAATACAGAATGCCTACCTTATCCACATTCATTCTTTTAAACGATGCCTGCAGAAGTTTGAAGTTGTGAATGTACTCATGCTCCAGCTTTGCTTGAAACTTTACTTTCTTCAAGCTAATGCACCCTGGGAACAACATGTCCATGAACTGGCAGTAAGCTGCTCCTACAACAAGAGAATGCATTGACGTTAATCCAGATGCACCCAGCTAAGACCAAATGGCATTTAATGTCATTAGCAAAAAGCATGAGCAGAAAGCAACAGTGCTGAGTAAGTCCCTGCTGTAATTCAACCTAACACCCACGATCTGCTTATCTAATGTACACTGAGCAAAGTGACATATTAAAGTGATTCTTTTCTATTCAACTTGGATGCATGATGCACTGCTGTGTAGCATCTGAAGCATCACCACGATGAGTGCAAAGTAAAATGGATGTTCCTGGAGTCTGTACACACAGTAAGACTGCCCATAAAATGAGAAGAACGCAGCAAAAATGAAAATCTCTTAATAAGCTTCCTCAATCCTCACAGACCCCTGAATTCAAACAAGCCAAGATCATCTTTCTTCTGGCACTTGTAACTGAATGCCAAGCAAGTCCAAGGCAATCATTTAAGATTATATCAAACCATGATTTAGAAAAAAATTTAATTGCAAAGCTCCAGCTTGTTAAAACATATCAGTCAGCTCCCACCCCTCTAAAACAAACATCCTTACTGATTATCATCTCCTGGGACAAAGCATTTACATAAGTAGACTTCAGCACAGTCCGCCCATAAGATTGCAGAAGTTGGGCTGTCAGCCTCAGGTCCCACTCAAACAGTAACAATCTAAGCTCAATTTTGAGGGCCCTCTGAACTTACAGAGCAGAGGGTAGGGGTGTGTGTTTATAACTAATCCAGCACAAAGCAAGTATACAGAAAAACCTCTAACCAGCGTACTGAGTACAGCTAATAGAGACAGTGTTTCCTGTGTGTAGGGAGCTTCCTCCTACAGCATCATGCCACTGTCATTTGAAAAGTAAGTCTTTATTGCTGACACACTCAAGTGTTTAGAAATCAAGGATGAAAATGTTTGAGGAAATCAGAGAAAAAGCAATTTCGGTTCTTCTTCAGAAGAGAGTTTTCTCCAAAATGCTTTATACTCAGCAAAGATTCAGTGAGGTCCACTTCTGGAGCAGAGGGCTTAGAGGATGCAGCCCTTGTGCTTGAGCATACAGGGCAGGGAAGTGATTGCCTGATTACCCCTGACAAGTTTGATTTCACTTCCACAAAAAAGACTGTTGTGCATTTAGTGCAGATCAGTTTTGATAAACAAAGAGTCCAGATCTCACCTAACAGTTCAGCCCAGCATCAACAATGATTTTTATCAAAAAATAATTCTGAGTGCTCACAGAGAAATCAAATTAACAAAGCAGACACCTGGCTTGCCCAGTTTTACAGGAGAGTCAACAATATCTTAGAGTTTAAATCATTTTTCCTCATGGGTATGTGTATGTTTTGACAAGACCAACTTTATGCATGAGAGAGTTCTCATTCTCTGTATCCATTCAGTCATCATATGAAGGGCTACAGAGCTCATAACTTCCCAAAGAGAACCAGAGTTTAAGAGTGGAGTCCAAAAATGCTCTCTGAAATACTGATCAGCTTTAGTGCTGAAAACCACTGCCATTTAAAAGAAATTCTCTTCACACTGCCCAGCTTTGTGGGGGAAACTGGTTAATAAAAAAATCTGATTTTCCAAGGACACCTTGTGCTTAGTTGTTAGCAATGGTCTTGAGATGATTAGGAATCAAAGTAAAACACTCCCTAAAGGAAAAGGAGCCTTATTGCAAGTTACAATCATCAGATGACAAATTTGCATCTTCTTATAAAAAAACTATATAAACATAATTATTTTTTCGAAACTCATCCTTAGCAAGAGAGCTGGTAAATATGTGGCAACAGAAAAATGACATTACAATTAAAAGCATGGATATACAGATAACGTCTGGCTTGAATACACTTATTACTGTTTAATTTAATGCAAAAGGATTATTATGCAATCATTTAATATTATAAATTGAATTTGTTCCTAACTCTGTCCTTTCATCCTCCCCATACCCCAATTATAAGCTTTACTCTGATATCTAAGTAATTGCCTGGAGGCCTTAAAAATGTGCTGCACAACCTTTCATCTACATCCTTTTAGAAAACTAGAAGCCCAAAGTGTTCACATGAGATTTTTCTCCTTGTGCTGGTAATGCAAATTCCTTCTGCATGCCTTTAGATAGAGTCTCTCCAGTTACGGTATTTCCTTGTGTTTTCTTCCCATCATGCTGGCAGTTGTTTCTGAGCCTTTGCCAGCCAGGAGGTGGTCCTGGGTCTGCTCAGCACTTGAGGGCAGAAAGCACTGGACTGCATCCACATGGCAGCACAGGCCTGTTCTCCAATACAACACTGGAGCTGGCGGCTGGGCCATCTCCCCAACAGGAGGATTTGATTACATTGGCAAACACAAATCATTAGAACACTCCTTCCTGAAGTACAGAGGCAACACACAAACATAGAGTGAACTAAACACTAAGCTACAAAGAGAGGAAACTTTTCCCCGACTCCAAAAAGGCAAAGACCTGCCTATCACAGCAACAGGAGAAAGTAAATATATCATCACAGTCAACTGGGACTACCTGATTTTGGACATGGAGGTTATGTATGTATTTAATATTATATAGGCATTTATTTATAATTTAAAATTTTAGCCCCTAAAGTTTGTAGCCTTCACATTGCATTTGAATGGTAAACATCAGAGCAACACAATGGGGACACCACTTTCTACCCTCCCCTTGGCTGAGATTTCAGGAGGCAGCAGAAAGAGCAGCCCTACTTAAGTGATGCAAGATTGCAATGCCTTTACCTTACAGCCACAGCATATACCTGTGGTCCTCCTCATGCAGGACAGCACTTTAGGCCCAGCCAATTTACTACACAACTGTTACAAGGTGGGTGCATGAGAAAGAAGTATTTTTAACAGAACGCAAAGAAAATTACCGTAAAGATAATGATAGCGTGGCTTGTGACATACCTCTTGCATGATTTACACAAACAGAAGGATTTTTATGCTATGTATTTTGTTCGATATTTGAAAACTTCCCTACATTTTCCTCAAAACATAAAATAAAAATAAAAATAATGTAAAAAAACCCAACCAAACAAAAACCCCAAAACCTTAACAAATCTGTACGGAGAAGTTGAAAACATACTGCCTGTCCAGAATGGGTCTCACAGTAAATCTATCTTTATGACCAAAAAACTTTTATATGCATAAAGATGCACATTCACACAAACAGGAATAATCTGATATTGACTCAAATGAAAGATGGAAACTACAGCTGGTGGCACTGCAGAAGAGGGATCAATGTTAAAAACCTCTTACCCTTTATTAGCTAACAAGCAATTTAGAATCACTGGCTCAAAGTCCTTTTGTGTTTTGATCTAGAATATTGATGCAGCCATTAGTTACAGAAGATATTCACAGGCCAGACTCCAAAATAAGCCTGTAAACAGGGCAGTGCTGAAATCACCCCCAGCAGTGGCTATTTTTAGTCCCATTAGTGAGCAGAGAGAACCCTGCAGCATCACAGGCTGTGCAGGTGTTTGCTGGGCAGCCCTGACTTGGGGTTGAGCAGGCAGCACGTGCTAGCGAGGGGATGGAATCCACCAGGCTGGGCAGACAGGCAGCTGCCAGAGAAGGTGAAGGGATGCTGTGGCAGAACTCAGATACAAAAGAATAAACTGAGAAATGAAGAAGTGGTTATTTAAAGATATTAAAATTCGCGAGTTTTGCGGAGTTTTGCCACATGCAATGGTAAAGCTGAAATTACTATCAAATCTGTAAAAAAATCAGAGTATTTTTACAGCATTTTCAGAGCTGTAGATAATCTTTACTAGTCCCCTGCAGTAAGCAATGCTGAATTAATTTTAGTTTTTGTCCTATACTTCTCTCCTGCTTCTGTGTTTCTTTCCCAGACTGTCCACACTGACTTAGTTTGCTCTGAGGCACATGCACTCTACATCATTACAGACTTTGTCTTTCTCCACCATCTGGAGGCTGATGAAATGTAAAGAATTAGTTTCGTGATAATCAAAAATACTTCTGCTTCTGACTATTTTTCTTTAGAAATGATGTTTATGTATTTATGATGGAAAACGAAAACATTATTCACAAACCAACTGCTATTAATATACTATAATTAGAACTTAGCACGCTAATAAAATACTTAGTAGAAATACAGTAAACTCAGGTATTGCCAATACGTGTGTGCCCTATACACGTCAAGTCAGTCCTTCATGTCAAATCTCAAAAGACTCTGTCGCTCTCCACTCCTCCCTGCATCCCTGCACTGTGTTGGGAGCAAGATCCCAGGAGAGTCTTGTGAAACCACACCAGCCAACAAGGGAACACAGAGGGCCCACAAGAAGACAGGGCCTGGCTCGGGCAGGTGTGGGGCTGCTTCATTTTAATTCTGATACACAAACCACAGCAAATAAAGCTAAGTTCGACACTACAAATTTTCTATAAATGCTTAGTACAAATTTTGTTCTAAAACTGCATACAATTCAAGTTCAAACCTTTTAACCAGGCCTCAGTTTGATTTTCACACACTCCATTTTTTAAAAACCCCATTTGGAAAAAAGGGTCACTGTACCTTCTTCTGTAATTAAATCTGTTTGTTTGCTTGCTTGAATGAAATGCTTTCCAGATAATATAAAAAATATATCCAGTCATGTTAGATACAAATTCCTTCAAATTATTCATTCCCTCCAAAGCTGCAACCACCTGATCATGCATTTGGAAAATACCAGATGATTTGTGTAAGTATTAGTCACTGGCACTTTTAGCTCACTACAGTTGCTACGCTGGTGGGAAACTGCACACACCCTGTGTCTCTCTTGCTGGGGATGACAACAGTAAAAAAAAGGCAGCAGCTTGCAAGGAGCATGTGTGACCTTAATAGTTTTGATAAGAAAGGGGAAAATAAACCCACAAATTCCAGCAATCATGGTGCCAGCAGCACTTCGGGCTTGTCTTTTACCTCAGGCTTTCTAGAATAGCTTCCTTGGGAGTGATGTTAAGGTAAGAACATGGCAAGTTTTCGACTTTGGCATCAGAGTATGGTTTTCATTTC